GGGAATGCAGTGAACAAGCCTTTATTGTATTTAGATACGGAATGGAAGCGATTTCTAAAGCTCTAATAATATTGGAAACTTTTTTTGTGTGTGTGTGTGTCGTTTTATAGCTGACTTTCTCAGTGAAAGGTCCAGTGCAATCTGTTAATTTCCCAGCGTTTTTTTTTTTTTTTTTTGATGTGTCATCTTTGGTGTTGTCAGTTCTTTTGTTGGTTTGACCCCATTGTTAGAGGTCCGGTGTCTTGTCTTTGGTGGAGAGAGGTGGTGTGAAGAAGGTTTCCGTTTCCTTCCTTCTTTTTTCAACCCTATATAAAGGGTGCTTTCCCCAATAAAGGTTTAGCGGTGTTTGAGACGTTCTCTTTCTCTTCCTTGTCGTCGTCTGTTTTACCTCAGTCTCTGGTTTTTCACTAATATGTGGATGATCTACTTATTTTAAGAGAGGAAGCTGAGGTATCCCTGGAAGATGCTGTATCTGAGTTGTTGCTTGCCTTCGTTGCATGCGCGAACTGTTCGACTCTTATTTTTGAGACTCCCACTGAAGGGAAGATACAATTGTTTACGGTCAGTTTTCTGGAAGACCACATCCGTTGAGATTATGAGCCGAGATCCAGAAAGGCTATCCTATCGTATGGGTCGGCTCAATCTAGGTTTTTCAAAAGGAGCATGGGCAAAACATACTTAGGGGATGACATTAAAAAAAAAAAAAATTCGAAGCATTCCGTTCAGGAAAACCTTGCGCGCCAGATCGCAACACTGCCAAAAAGAGGGCTTTTTACTACTGTGTTTAACTGAGGTCACCGGCAGCTTGTTAAGAGGGCTCAGAGGAGCAAGCAAACCCTCTCGCGAGAGACCCAATGTGAGCCCCGCGGTTATTCCTTACTTGCACTTGGTTTCACTTAATTTCAAGAAAGTCGCCCTTCGTTTCAACGTCCCCATGATTTTCTCAGCTATGAATCGGATGGTTCGACTTTGCCATAAAATCAACAGCCCCCGTCAATAATCTCATCCTCGCAGCAAAAAAACACAAAACTAAATTTGCTGACTGTGCCTCAGGAGTTGTTTACGAGATACTTTTTTTTTTGTGGTGCTGTGTGCATAGGGCAGACGGGCAGATGCGTTAATGACCGTGCCTGGGAGCATGCGGCAGCTACGGGAGATTGCCTGCCTGGTCATCTTGCCATCCATTGTAGCAGATGCGCTTGCGCGCCTGTGTTCCGTGACATGGAGATTTTGTCTGAGTACCAAGATAAAACAAGCCGAGTGGTGAACGAGGCATATGAAATCCGGAATAAGGTTGTAGATTGCATTAGTGAGGAGTCAGTCGCCCTTTCAAAGCAATCATTTGGACATATAATAAACAAGGGTTGCATCGACACGATGATGATTGACAAATTTTTGGGAGCCGATATTAAGCTTGTACTTTCTGAATAAAGGCTGAACCGCATGTAAGTGATTTAGCAAGCGAAAAGGCGAGCGACGGCAACAGCGACGAGGGTCAGCGACGAGAGACGGAGATTTCTGACAGACGCTCGTTGCGTCGCTCGGTTTTTGAATTTCCAGAAAACGTTGCTCATCGCCTTGGTCGCTTGCTCCCGTCACTTTCATGCGGTTTGCCACGTCGCACGACTGACCGAGCGACAGCAGAGCGGATCGCCGTCGATGTCTCGTCGCTCGCCAAATAGCTTACAACAGTTGCGAGTGCGCCTTGTGTTCTGCCTCTTCGTCTTGGGCCTTGTCCTTTTTCGGTGATTTTTAGAGAGTAGCTCTTAGGCGACCGCTTCCGGGTTGAGCGGCGTCACAGTCGCCGTCGCCGTAGGCGTAACCGCGCGTTGCATTATGGGACGTTTCCTATAATGACGTCACACGTTACGTCACGTGCTACGTGACGAGGGTTACTCTAGTGAAAGCTACGAGGGTTACCCTCACGATGGTTACAAAGGTTACCCTCGTAAGGGGTTAAATCTAGCGGAAAATGTTTCCCGCTAGATTTAGAGGGGAAAATGACTGCGTGACCTCAACGCCAATTCAATTTCCCCGCAAAATTCAGCGGAAAAACTTTCGCTAAATTTCAAGCAAAATTTAGCGGGAAAATGTTGGTAAATTTCGCTCTAAAGTTTGCGGAAATATTTCGCCACGAAATTTAGCGGCGAAGTTCGTGCAAAATTTAGCTGGAAATTTAGCGAAACTTATACGCTAAATGGGAGAGGAGCAGGAGATGAGGGGAAAGGTACGGATGGGGGAGGAGGGGCATACCCTCCCCTCCGTACCCTCTTCTCCTCCTTTAGAGCTGCGCTCTAATTCGACATTACAGAGAATTGTTAACGTCTTTCTTTTTTTTTTACTCCTCCAACTATCGAATTTGCGGCCACGTAGGTCCGGTTTCCGAAATACGGTCCTAAGTGTTCTGCTTTCACCCGTTGCAACTGATTGCATTGTTTTTAGTAGCAAACGGCCGGAATACGTTCATGCCAAATTTTCGGTAATTTCTCTTTTGTTCATCGGACAAATAGTGCTGAGTTCGTTGGACGCGCTTCGGGCATTGGCGACTGCGAGACTTCCGTTGAATGTGGACGACCGTCATCCTCCTCGACTTTGCGTTTGCGTTGCTCTGTGCTGCCAGACACGGATTATGCATATCCAGTATCACATGAAACCGCCGCCCCCTACACTGGCAGGTGCGCAGGGCACCGCCCAATATGAGTCGGACATCGCACGCATACTCTGCTCCATCCCGATTTTTTTTTTTTTTTTTGGGGGGGGGGGGGGGGGGGAGGCGGGGGGGTTTGTGGATTAACCTTGGTCCGCGTACTTGTTTACAGGGATCCTGCAGTGTGCGGGAAGCCGATGAAAATCGACGGTCGATTACGAAAGACGTCGCTGTCCGGGCGGTAACGTGTCGTCGAGCTTTGTATAGGCGGTGAAGGGCCGTTCAGGAGTTTCAGACTCGAAAGGATGATTACCGACGCCAGCAGAGTCGGCGCCAGGTCATGGAACACAATCTCGGCCGCCGCCAGCTCCGTCTCGAGCGGACTCGATGGAGCTGTACACCGCCGGCTCCGTGGACCTTAGTCACCCGCTCTGTATACCATCCCACACGTCAGCCGAACTTCACCGAGCGCCTCGACTGCCGCCGTCCTCCCGCTCATTTACGAGAGATTCAGGCTGACGTCCAGTTCCTGGCCCATGATCACCGAGAGTGCGCTTTGTATCACCTACCGCTGTTTCATTCAGGCGCTGTCGAATCCGGTTGAGTGGTTTCAAAAGTTTGACATGTGCATGATTGTGCTGCGTGACATCTAGGTTTGGAGTTCGCTGTCACTGTACGCCACCAAGGTTTTTTGGCATCTCTTGATCATTCGCGCGAAGCGTGATCAAAACTGATGGGGAGTGTTGTTGTTGCTGTTTTGTATCCTTGTTGCAACTCCTATTAAAAATAGAGTTTTTCTGTTGTCATTTTGTCATTCTTCCCTACCCCGTATCATCTGCATGTGCCGAACTTAGTGTCCGTGTTATTTCGTCTGTAAAATCATCTATTGGAATTCGCAAGGTTCTTGAGAGTGCAGAATTTCAGGCTAGGCAAAACAGTCGTATTAAGTAAACCATAAAGATAAACACCCTTTAAAAAAAAAACAAGGAAAACAAACAAGCACGAGCAGAACACAAATGTGCTCCATCGCTATCCATTTGTTATACAGGAGTTTATGGTTTTATTTTTTCACGTATTAGGGTATCTAAACCTGCTCATTTGTATTTATGGAGAGAATAAATTTATGCACGCTTATGAGGCATGTGTAATATATTCGAAGCACGAATTTCCAGATCACTAGAAATATAGTGGGAGCATACTCAAAGTATGGCGTAAAGGTACACTTGAAATACGCCATAAGTACACCGTGAGTATACTCCATATCGGCCATATTCACGCGGAGTTATTACGAAAAAGTATGCGTACTGAGTTCGTACAAGTATATTAGAAATATGCTGTTTTTCACTAAGGCTGGTTTTCAACGTGATGTGAGTTCTATCTATAAGTGGTGCCTGTCTAATGATCATGTCCTAAACGAGTCGAAAACACAAATTATTCTCTAGGTTCAAAGCGTGTCATTATGCAATCCTGCTACTCTTCAGATACGACTGTTATTAGTCGTGTGTTTCTGCTCGGGAACTTGGGTATTTATATAGATACCGAGATTCGTTTTAATCACCGGGTTACGCGTGTTATCAATTTGCCTCTACGCATTTTAGGTGTCATAACGCGTAGATGTAACATCTTTAGGAACCCCCTTTTTTATCTCATGTTATTCGTAACCTTTCGCGAAGCCGCCAATGTTAGCCTCAGTCGTGTGGAACTCCGTTGAATTGACCAAATTCTCTAGTATTGAGCAGGTTTAAAGGAACATTATAAGCGTGTTTTACGATCGTTATTTACAACCCACTGTATCTTATGACTACAAAAGAAGCTTGTAATCTGATTGGTCTAAAATGTTGGTGTACTAAACGGATGATTTGGGATTGTATGTTCTTGAACAATATTCTAGATAGTGGTTTAGACTCACCGCGCTACTGAACTGTGTATGTTTACATGTTCCTCAGAGGGTGAGAAATATTTACAGCTTATTTTATATTTTTTATTGTACAAAATTGATCCCATGACTCGTGTGCAACTGGTTTTCAACAAATTCGAATCTAGCTCAGGTAGTCTTGATATTGTCATTCTTTTGACCTGAAGAAAAACTTCGAGAGTGCACTGACGTTTTTCTTTTACTCTGATATGTAGACCAATTCTTTTGTGGATTAGATATGTTGTTTCTTAGTGCATGACTAAAAAAGCCTATTTCTTTTTCTGTGGCACTCAAAATAAATAAAATAAATAAATAAATAAAAAACTGAAGGACACAATTTCAATTGGAGGAAAAAGCATACTGTTACCTACAGTTTAAAAAATTACATTATCACATGATTATGATAGACAAACATAACATTTTATAATAACTACTTACTCGCGCCGTCCAGCACCGCGATGAAACATGTCCATACAAAACTTTTCAGAAGAGCGTGCCACATTCTGAAAAAAGTGTTGAATTCACGACATACGAATAAAGCCGAGCGTGGCTGTATATAAGACGAGGCAGACAATGACAAAATCTCGCACATTTTGATGTTAGGAGACATTTTAGGTTTCAAAATAACATTTCTTGAAATGTGGTTTCTCTATATTGCACATTATAGTTTGGAAGGTCAGCATGACCTATGTGAAATGAACGATGTGGAAGTTGTTATTCCTGCCCTAATGTTAACCTCGTGGCCAGGATATACGTAGATTGGAAGGGCAGTACGAAATGTCAACAATCAAAGTACATGTAGCCTGTATGTGATATATCGTTTACCGTGGAACAAGGAAGAGCGAACACCCAATTGACAGCAAAATGTTGCGATTCGGAATCGTAATCGCAGTTGAAGTACCAATAATTTCTCGATTTACAGCGACGTATGCTGGTAGTGGGAACCACGGTGTGAGGTCATGCGGTGGACACTGTCATAGGACAGCAACTTGTGCCATTTTTCTGCCAATTTAAGGCTAAGTTCTAATAATTGCGATGTATAAGTGTCAATACACGGGTTGAAAACCGTGTATTATTACAGAAGGTTGAGGTTTTAGTATTTCTATATGAGGTTTTCGTATTTCTATATAATGGAAAAAAAATCCCCTCCACACTGCTAACGTACCCTTGTTGAGCGGGGTTTGTTTGATGAACGGAGAATAGCTTGGACTCGCGTTTTCTGTTTATTATAGATCGCGACCTTTCCCGCAGATGATGCTAAACGGATGGGGTGAGCTGTCGGGGCCGAATCGGACACTGACAAGTCGACAACCTATAAAAGATGGCCTCTAGACGTTTACGAAAATTACGATGGTGAACTATAACTAGGTGTTGTATTATAAGGTCAATCATAAAAGCAATATATTCACCTATAGAAACTTTTATGGCACACAGCGTTAAGCATCTCTCCCATCTTATTTTGTTTAACCATTGTATGAAAGCGGGCGCATGTCCTCAAAACGTAGTCGCTTAAACATTTATTTACTTCTCCTTAGCCGGCTATAGAATATATAAGTGTTTAAACTATAATATCTTGACCATTGAGTTCTCTTTAACCTACTATATTACAATAAATGCGACCATAGGATTTTGTTTGGCCGACTATAGAGATATTTCTGACTCGAACGCTACAGACACGCGACATTCACTTTAGGTGGCTATAGCGCAATAAATGTTCCAAAAATTATAGACAAACGCTCAGTAAGCTATTTTAGCCTAGTGTAGAGGACTTTTCCTCGAGTGCAAAAACCCTGCGAACATTCAATTATCTACGGCCGGCTGTAGAAAGTTGTGTGTCACCAATTTCAATCACTCATGTCTGTTACATTTTTATATCTGGCTATAGAAACTTGTGTGGTACTGGGGTAGAAGCATTACGGTCAAGAAATTGTTTTACCCTGGCTATAAAAATGTTTAAGCTAGATATTCTAACCCATCTAAATCTATCATATCTAAAATACATGGGCCCTATTTTATCCAGAAAATAACGCAAACATAATAAGAAGAGGCTGCATAAAATAAAAGTGTGCCTTTGTTTTTGGGCACGTATCTGCTATGGCTTTCCGAAATCGCATTTTGAATTTGTACTTAGAGCCTTTTTGTGACCGCTTGAATTGCTTCCAAATGTGTCTGTCTTAAACCTCTCGCTAAAAAGCATGAAAATTTATTTTTGTAGCTTCAAAAAACTTTTTGAGGGTGCAATTTTTTTGTTTGACACAATTTCTAAATGTTATGTCTATTGTTGCAAAAAAAAAAGAAAAAAAAAACTTTAAGGTGCAAGTATTGAACGTAGCGTGGTTGAAACTTGTGGTGGACATTATTGTCATTATGAGTCGACACTACAAAAAGCATCTTCGAAATTTTTGTTTCGCTGCATTGACTTTGCCAGCAAGAGACATAGCATTTAGAAATTGTATCATACAAAAAGTTAAGAAACGGAAAATGCACGAACACTCGAATAAGATCCTTCACTGAACCGAACACGGTCAGCGTGACTAGAAGTAGACCGCTCCCTCAACCCGTTTTGTTGCTCCCTTCCAGTAAGACAAAAATGAGGCTTAGGGAGTTTTCTCAGACCGCATTTCCTCCACCGTTCAGCCTTTCGCAACGAAGAAACCACTACTGCGCCTGCGAAGGGATGGCCTTGACTGAAGAGCTCCGGGTATCGTAGCGGGTTGCGGAGAGGCTTGCTAGACGGCGGAAACAATCTGCAAAAACTCCCTCATGTCACAAAAAATGGGCTTCCGAGTTTCTGGGTCAAGAGCTTAAAGGAAACCTACACAAGAGGGGGAAATCATTTCTGTTTTTAATTTTTCCATGGCGTCGTAAACGTTTCTATACGTGATAACATTCAGCCACGAACAGCTTGATTGACGTGTCTCTGAAGCGCCGAGTGACTACAGGCAACACCGCGAACAGGTGGCCAAGCTGCCCATATTACTTCATGCGTCTGCTCTGCTCTTGTGATTTGTAATTAAAAAAAAAAAAAGAGACAACACGAGGGAATGGGCAAATGTTTATTAATCCTTATTACGTTAAGCACGACGTTATGGAGTAAGAGCAATGCAGGTAAATAGAACGAATGCTTTAATACTTTTGCTATAGAATGCTGGTCGAAAGCATTGGAACGACCTGGCATGATGTCGGTACAAAACACGATACCTGCGCATGCGCATTACTAAAACAAAACAAAAAAAAAATAAAAGAAAACGACGCAATCAAGTTTGCCGTAGGTTGGTTTTACAGGACAAAGGAGAAATGAAACGAAATGAACGTATTGCATTTGCGCCTCTTCCTACACACTAGCATCCAAAGAATCCAGAATTGCGGAGCTGTAGATACAACTTATGCCTCGTTCACACTTCCGGCCGGATCCGCGAGAACTCTGACGCCCGGCGACGAAAGCAGGCAGAATTTCCGGCGGAGAGCAAGATCGCTCTGGGGACCAATTTTAAACGCCGGAAAAAAAGTTTTTCTCACCGCTAGCCAATCAGAACGCACGGGGGAAGTGGTGCTTGCTGGCGTCAGATCCCCGCTGATGAGATGGCGGTGATGGCGACGAGACGCGCGCGGGCAAGGAGGAGGTTTGGGAGCTTTCGTCAGCTCTCGTCTGTTCGGCAAACTGCAAGACGCTCGTGCCGCGTACTCCGCAGGCGGCAAGAAATGTGAACGGCCCGATCTTCTTTTCGGCGATGGAATCTACTCGGCGGTGAGTGCTTATTTCGCAAGTGTGAACGAGCCATTACAGGTACGACATCTTCGACGCTAGATACTCTAAACCACGCCAACATGAGATATCATAACACCGTATAAAGGCGTATTCCCTCCCAGCGTATGCTAAAAATACCTTTTTCTGGCGAGTTCGCCTGAAAAAGATTCTTTTTGACTTATTAATTTGAAATTATTACTTCCCACCTCGTTCTGACACACAGTCACTTATAAGCACTTTGAATTATATTTCCGGTGCTGTGGATTTTTCAACGAATGATATGATCATCGTTGGTAACTTTAACGTGCCTGGCGTTGATTGGAATTCAAACACGATTAGTGCTGCATTAAGTGAGGCATGTTCTAGAGTCGAAAAAACAATGGAGTTTGTGAAATTATTGGGCTTTTTCAGCTTATTACTACAACAAACGGGGCTGGAAATACGATTGGCTTGTGCATGACAAACATACCGGCAATCACGTTCGGGACTGCTGACTTTCCTATTGTCTTTATCAATAAATGGCGTCCAACATTTGCCCTTTTCATTGTACTTTCTTCTCGGACGTCGGCGAGTAATCAGTCTCTCGGGTATAACTACGTTCGTGGGGACTACCTTGGTCTTTACAATCACCTTCGCAACATAGACTGGAACGTTATTTAACTTTGTTCCAATATTGATGGCGCAGTTATATGTCTAACAGACATTGTAACTTCAGCCATGAATAATTTCATTCCACGCGGAAGTGGTCGAACTAGAAACGACCCTTTTTTGGTTTTCCGGAGAGCTACGTGATGCATTCGGTAAAAAAGCAAGTTACAATAGAAAGAAGTACACGAATACCGGCATAAAGAAATGGCAGGGTCTGTTTAAAAAATATCGTTCAGCAGGCAAAAAGAGTATACGGCGTGATAGGGAGAACTTGCGAAATTCAGTTGAACGCATTTTAAAACGCGATCCTAATACTCTGCAATTACGCGAGGTGTTTGAGGACATCTAGTCGATCGAAAACTATTGCATTGCAAGACGACTCTGGATATAAATCTGAGCCGTCTGACGTCTGTGATCTTTTTGGTACGTTCTACTCTTCCGTTAGTAACTTGATTACTCCGTCCACTGTTATGACCGATCCGCATCTTCAGTCTACCTGCAGCTTGGCAGTTTCGAATCTCACGTTTGAAGATGTGCTTTCCGCAATAAGTGACCGCGCTCCAAAAAAATGTCATGCGGTGAGGACGAAACGTCTGCTTTAATTGTTAAGGTATGCGGTATAGTTTTGCCCCTGTGTTGCTACGCGTTTTTAACATGTCCTGAGACGCAAATGTATTTCCTCAAGGATGGAAGAACACAGTAGTTGCACCTATACTTAAATCTGGTCGCACTGACTGCGTTAATAACTATAGACCAATTTCGATTCTTTGTTGTTTTTCTAAAGTATTTAAAAAGGCAATGCATAAGCATATTTATTTTCATTTTCAATCGCCTCTTTGTCTCAACCAGCATGGTTTCTGTCAAGGGCGTTCAGTGGAAACAGAGCTCGCATAATTTTTGGAACACACGCTGCTTAAGTTCACGTCCTGTGTACAAGTTGACGCCATTTATTTCGATTGCTCTAAGGTTTTTTATCTCGTAGGTCATAAGTTGTTCCATGCCACATTTTCCGCGTTGGGCATGAATAGCTGGTTTTGCAGTTGGTTGTCTAGTTATCTTGGCGGAAGACCTAACAGAGTGCTGTATGAATGGTGTATTTTCTGCCCCATATGTTTTAAATACTGGAGT